TTATCAGTGAGGCATAATTGACTAAATGGTTAAAATATGCAGCTGTAACACAGATGAATCTCGTTACGTGCAAATGAAAATAGTTTATTACTGTACATTAGATTCATTCAGCTGAGTTACTGTCCAAACATCATTTCAGATGTAATGAGGAACTAATTTCTGTAAGACTTGCATTTGTACATTCTCTGACTTCTGAATACCACACACAATAGCATGAGTACAATTTTGAGATTGCTCTTACTAATGTTATTATTATTGTCTTTCTGAAAAAGGACGAGTTCAAGTGCTCTTCTAATTGTAATTTTGCTCTATTAACTGGTGTTTCTGTTATATTATCATTAATTAGTCAACAAGAAATGTGACTTTTAAGTCAAAGCATGTAAGTGTTAAAATCTCGTGCATTATATTGGGCTTCTCGAGCCATTTCATGCCATTTTGTCTCTACTGTGAACAGGAAAGATAAAAAATGAGTGTAATTTGTAAACTTGATTGCTTTAGCTCAGACTGTAGAGTTCTGATCTAGCATCCAAAATGTTCAGCATATCCAGTTCTAACTTGTCAGGTTCCAGTTTTTTAAAATATTGGTCCTATGTATCAACGTTTATTAAGAAAAAGACAGAAAGAGCTGCAAAGAACAATAGGTGACGCATTTAAAATCACATACTGTAAATGTAAAAAAAGGACAAGTAAATATTTAATTGCAAACAAAAAAATTGAATAACTTTTCAGTCCATAGAAGCAACTGGCCTTTATGACCACTTCAGCTCTCTTATACCATACATGTGGACAATAATAAGCAGAGCTTGAGTTGCAAATCCTATATACCTTTTTTGCTGCACTTAGGTTTTATTTTATTTTCACTTTTCAAAACAGCATTCTAAATTTATCAGAATAAAACTTTTACCATTAAGTTAAAATGTGACAGTGGAAAAAAAAAAAAGCATGGGTTGAATTATAGACTTACCTAGTTAACATTTGTTATTCACGGTGTTAAAACTAAATAATATTGAAGGGTTGTAATGGCTTTTTTGTATTCTTATTTCACAAAATGCTGTAATTTCACTGAAGTTTTCCTTTCATTTCACAGTGTCATTGAGGATACATTTGTTGGATGAATATTTAGAGAAGACAAAAGGGTAAACCTAACAAACACTGGAAGTGATTCAGTATTCTGAACATATCTTTGAGCTCAGAGTTAATACACCAGGACAGGGCTCCGGGGAGCTACACTCTGGTGTTCTTGCAAATTACATTTGTAGAAGTTTCAGTTGTAAGCACTACAAGATACAAGTCTTCACAGCTCGGTTTTCTCAGCAACTTTTAAATTGAGAGATGAGACCAGAGTCACCCAAGCGAGCAACGGCTCGAATCAAACTACCTGCTAGATATTCTCATGGCTCCGTCAACCTCCTAAATCACAAGTGACAATTAGAACAGATTCTTAGATCAAATGTTCGGCAAGTGGATGACAAAAAACAGGCTATAACTTACTAATTTTTACAAATATTGGGCTTAAATTTGTTGTGGTTGTAAGAGTTACTAACAAATGTTCTGGGGGTGATTTGAGATTGTGTATAAAAAAAAAAGATGGAGCTGATGAGGACAGCTGCCATTGTGCCTGCTTTGTTTGTACATAGACTTGCTTTTTCTTGTTTTTAGCCTACTTATTTCACCATTTGTATGCTTCCAAACATATGACATACAGACATTGGTCAACATGGGAACAGAGTATTTAAAATGTGTCCCTGGCAACTCTAGTCCATACCCAGCCTTGACCTCTGAGATGCTATGGCGGGCCAACAACCACAAAATCTGCAAACTCACAAAAAAGACCCCGAGGAAAAGGAGCCGGCATTACGAACGGGCTGAGGCGCAGAACTCACTGTGCATCTCTGCCAAGTATCCTACTCGCCAACGTCCAGTTATTGGAAAACAAGCTGGATGACCTCGGGGCCAGGGTGAAGTACCTGAGGGGCATTTGGGACTGCAGTATAATCTGCCTCACCAAGACATGGCTACCACCTCTGATCCCGGACCAAGCGTTCCATCCAGTGGCGTTTTTCACAGTACATTGTGTAGAGAGAATGAGTGAGTCCTGTAAATCAAGAGAAGGTGGAGTGAGTTTGATGTTAATAGCAACTGGTGCAACAACAGGAATGGCGTTTCTCTCAAAAACTTGTGTCCCCCTGACCTGGAGATCCTAACCATCAAGTGCCATCCCTTTTACCTGCCACAAGAATTTACTTTGATTATCATTAATGTTGTTTCTACCTCAGGCGGGCACAGATACTGCTCTATCAGAGCTACCTGAGGCTATTTCATCCTATCTGGTGAACTACCCTGATGGAGCCCTCGTCGTAGCCAGGGACTTTAACCATGCAAACCTGAAAAAGGTGATACCAGAGTTTACTCAACCCATTGAATGTTACACCAGAGGAGAGAGGACTCTGGACTACTGCTACTCTCTCTTTATAGATGGCAGCAAATCGATTATCTACCTTTGTTTGGGCTTTTGAACCACAGTGCCAACCTCCTCATGCCAAAATACAAACAATGGCTGAAGCAGTAACCTCCTGCACTCTGCAATGTGACACAATGGACCAGCCAATCAGATGCCACTCTGCAGGGAGCATTTGATTCAACTGACTGGGACATTTTTCGGCGCAGCTCAGGCGGAGACATCAATAAGCTCACGGAAGCTGTGGAGGGATTCATCGAGAAAATCATGGAGGATACAACTCCCAAGGCTACCATCAGTATTTTTCCCAACCAGAACCTGTGGTTGGACACAAACATCCTGGATGCTCTGAGGACTTGCACCACTGCACACAATATAGGGCTCATCACCAGAAACATGGATGCTTACAAAGCAACTGTCCGCGGCATCCAAAGAGCAGTTAAAGAGGTGAAACACTGCTTAACCAAGACGCTAGAGCTGCAGATGGAAGAGAGGAACACCAGGGCACTGTGACAGGGACTACACACCATCACAGACTACAGAGCAACACCCCCACCCGTGGTAAAAGCAGACGCCACTTTGGCCGATGAACTGAACAACTTATTTTCACGCTTTGAATCTGACAGCTGGCAAGAAGCTGCAGTACCAGCCAGAGAGGAGGAGACACTTACCAAGACGAAGCAGGAGGTGAGGAAGTTGTTTAAAAGTGTGCACACCAGGAAGGCAGTAGGACCAAACTGCAACAGCGGACAAGTCCTTAAATCCTGTGCTGATCAGCTTGCATCGGTGTTCACTGTAATATTCAGTCTCTCCCTTGCTCAGTGTGTAATCCCCTCCTGCTTTAAAGTCGGTCCCTATGCCCAAGAAAACTCACCGTAAGTACTCCAGTAATGCCTCATAGCCCTCCCCGGTGTTGATTAAACCCTCGTCCCTACCATAGTTTGCATACCACCCAGACAGATCCACAGAAAACGCTATAGCCTTCCTTATACATGAAACACTTTGCCACGTGGACTCCAGGTTGGGAAATTATTTGAGTGCGCTGTTTGTTGATTACATCTCAGCCTTCAACACCATAGTTCCCTCCAGCCTGGTCACCAAGCTGCGTGATCTCGGACTGAACTCTCACTTGTGTGAGTGCGTCCACAGTTTTCTGACTGGCAGACAACAGGCAGTATGTGTGGGTGACCACACATCATCATCTCTTACCTTCAACACTGGATCCCCTCAAGGCTGTGTGCTGAGCCCACTGCTGTACTTGCTGTACATCCATGGCTGTGTGTCCACATCAGCCAGCAACATTTTAATCAAGTTCACTGACAGCACAGCCGTTGTAGTGTTAATCTTCCACAGCAATGAGAAGGACTACAGGAGAATGGTGTCCCATCTGGAGAGCTGGGGTCAGAGGAATAAGCCTCCTGCTTAACGTCACCAAAATCAAGAAGCTGAACTTGGACTTCGGGAGGAAACAGCAGTGCAACATCCATCCACTCTGAGTCTATGGGTTCAAGTTGAAGACGGTGGACCATTTCACTTATCTTGGAGTGATCATCACACAGGCTCTGCCCTAGTCACTACACATAAAAAGAACAGTCAAGAAGGCCAGACAGCATCTCTTTCACTTTAGACGCCTCAGAGACTTCAGTCCCCCCCCCCCAAAAGGGTTCTCAGGAACTTCTACATTTGCAGCATTGAGAGCGTCTTTAGAAGGAGCATCGCCACCTGGATGGGCAGCTGCACAAAAGAGGACTTGAAGGCTCGTAAGTGGGTAGTCCTTACAGTGAACTTGGCCATTTGAACAACTCTCCGACTTGCAGGCCATTTATCATAAAAGGTGCAGGTTGAAGGCTGAGAAGATCCTCATACAACCCAGCCACCCTGAACATTTACTCCTCTTTTTGCTGCCATCAGGCCAAAGGTTTCGCTGCCTGAGAGCGAACGCAGAGAGAACGACGAGGAGCTTCTTCCCTCAGATTATTCACCTGCTCAACTCTGAGCATTAAGAAGGCGAAGAAAAAAAAACACCCAGAAATTACAGACCCAGATTTGTATTTCAGTATCTTTTCATTTTGTATATATTACATCCTGTTTGTGTGTGTGTTACTGTATTCCCCTTACTTATTTGTCCTTACATGTTTGCAGATCTTTGGATGCAGGCACAATAACACATTTCACTGCATGTTATACTATGTATGATAGTGCATGTGACGAATAAAGTTTATCTTTATCTTTAAAATGTTAAATTTGACCAAAATTTCGTCAGCACTATCACTATTTAATGGTCTCACTCTGGTATAAATTTTGACATGAAAGGCAACAGTTAACATGCAATCCTTTAAGGAATGCTAGGTGCTATGTAAAGCAACAACTTTTCCCTTGAACGTTTTATTAAAAATATATATAGTTTGTGTTACTTTTCATTTTGTCGGGGCATTTACACAATAAATTTTCTGTTCAAAAACAAGCAAATCGTTGTTCTGTTTGTAACGTTGATGTACTAACCCATCACCTTTTGTTTACATTTTATTTTTGTGTTCTTCAGGATACCAGAAGGTCAGGCAGAAGCTGGGTCCCTGGCAGCAGGAAGGCTACGCTCCCTGGAGGACCAGCTTACCAGAGCCAAACAGCAGATCCACAGCTTCCAGAAACTCACCGGAGATGGTAACTAGGGCCAATTTTATGATTTACACACAACAAACACATAGCATATTGAAAGTGTGTGGGCTGACGATATCTGTATGATACAAAACCATTTAGCTGCTTGTAGAAGTTTTGCCTGCAGGAAGAATATTAGTCCAGTCCTGTGTTAAACCTGCCCACTAGTGATGATGGCACAGCCACGTCGACAGTGGGCAGGGTCATGTGCGTATTCGCCTCTGTAAGCAGTGGTCAGGAGGGCAGGAAAGCTGTCAGGTGAGTGGGGAAATGTGTGAATGAAGTTGGAAGTGGTGTGAATCCCCCACTGGCAAAATAAGAGAGTGGGAGGGGAGAAAAAGGACAGGGAGGAAATAAAAAAGGACATGTGAGCATGGAGGGCAGCACAGGGTCAGTTTTTCCATTTTGCCGCAGGGGGAGAAAAAAGCTAAAAATACCCTGCAGCTTTTCCCCCCACAAGCTTAAGGGTAAAGACAGAGAATAGTATATGATAGGAAGTTACAAAAAGAGCTTCTCCACATCCACCACTGCCGTCATCCCCTCCCGCTTCAGGCTGTTTCTTTTTTTTTCCTGTTTCTCTCCACAGAAACCAGAGCAGGCAACTGTGCTATACATGTAGGCTGCTCCACATTGTTGGGCTCATAAGGGGTATAAAGTTCCTGTGTGTGTGGAAAACATGAGAGAGACGACGCACGAAAGCAGTGATCAAGTGTTTCTTAATGAGGTCAAAGTAACACCCAGGGATAAAGTATGAATGAGGAAAAAAAAATTAATGATTACGTTTCAAAGCTGTGTTTTGTGCCAGGAGGTTGTTTATGCTTACACAATGCTAATTCTCAGACAGTCGAAGTCCTCCAAACTCAAGTCCTACCTCGTTTTTGTTGAGCCGTCTTCCTGCTTTGTTGCTTCCATTGATTCATTGCCTTAGATCATACCTACCCCTGAAATGGTACACCAGCTGTGGCTTTTTGTTTCATGTTGTTTCAAGCTCTTGAGTATTTTGACCTGATATCCCCTCTATCGTATCCCCCTCCTCCTCCCCCCCACAGGCCCCGGGCCCACTCAGGAGGAGCTGCGGAGAAAGGCGGAGAACGGTGTTAAAGAGTTCTGGTACTTTGTGCGCAGCGAGGTGAAGAAACTGTCCAGTGTTGAACCCAGCGAGAGGCAGAAATATGCTGATTCACTCCTGCAGGACCTCGGACACCAGGAGAGGTGAGCATGTACCGTAAACACAACGAATCCTGTTGTTTTGGTGCCATCATGGTGAGCAGCACAGCAAAACAGTCGTAAAAAATTGCTGATGCTATTTTATCGAAAGGGCACATCTTATACATTTTTTTGTGTACTTGCTCAAGATATATTTGTAGCGTTGGAAAAACTGCCAACTGAAAAACTTGATAAAAACGGAGTCTTTTATTTTGTGTCGATTTGAAAATGTGTTGTGCTGTTGGCATCTGCAACGAGGCTGATGATACGTCACAGAACATCTCAGGGTGGAATTACGCACGCAGCCTTTTGATCTTTTGTTTTGTTTTGTTCCACCCATCTTCAGCTTCAAATCATGCTGTATTTATTGCACCCCCCAAAAAAAAGTGTTGTGTTCTTGATTTTTTGTTTTGATTCACGCCAATTTTTTTTTTCCGAGATCATAAAGTTCACCTAAAAAATAGAAAGAGAAATAACTATTTTTTACTATTTGTCGGTTTCTTGTACGTGTGTCAACCTGAAAATTTGACTTTATCTTAAAATTTGATATTTTTTCTCTTATTTGGAAATTGGAAACACTATTTTCACATTTGTTGCAAAATCATTTTATGGCATTCTTTCATTACAAAATCAAACGATGCTGATAAGGAAGTTTAGGCAATGATTTGTGCTTTTACTTTCCACAAACTTAAATTTAAGTTTAATGAAACACCACAGCTGCAGACTTGGCAGAGTCACTCATTTATTCATTAAATACCTAAATTTGTGTAACATAAATGAACAAAATAATAAAAGTAATTATCTCAAAGACAGTTTGTGCAAATTGTATGAAAAACTATGTTTAATAAACATTGCAAGTAATCATTTCTAGTCTTACTCTGATACTATTTATAATAATTACCGTATTTTTTCGGACTATACGGTGCACCAGATTATAAGGCGCATTAAGCGAAACGAAACCGTAAGATAAGTCAAACTTTATTCAACTCATTCACAATAAAAACATAAAATCAGTTTGAGGTCCGTAAGCACAACCAGAATTAATACATAAGGCGCACCAAATTATAAGGCTCACTGTTGATTTTTGAGTAAATTAAAGGATTTTAAGTGCACATTATAGTCCGAAAAATACGGTAGTGTTTTCCCATGTTAACGTATTGTTGATCATGTTCTTCTCAGTTAAATTAGCAAAATTAGCATTTGATTTTATTGATATCTGTATTTTATTGTTTTTATCTTTGTATTTCTTGTTCAGTGGCCTTGAGTGTTTTGAAAGGCGCCTTCAAATATAATTTGTTGTTGTTGTTGTTGTTGTTGTTGTTGTTGTTGTTGTTGTTGTTAAATAGTAAACATGTCTATAACTGTTATTTCACATACAGTGAAGCTGTTTAATACCAAGTCCATACCTTTGGTTCATGAATTATTGGGTGTTTTATCAAAATATTCAGTTATTTAGACTTTTAAACAATGCATTAATATGCAATGTGTTTTTTATGTCCCTTTTTATTATTCTAAGTTTAAATCATTACCTAAGTCTATCACTGATTAAAAAAGCATTAAACTTAATTATATAGTTTGTATCACTTAAAGGCCACGTCATCATTTGTGTATTAAACAAAAATCAAACAATATTGATCATTAGAAAAGAAAAATCATTCAAATGGATATTCATTCTTTTTGACTTTTGTGTTGAGCTTTGCTTATAAACCGGATTGCTGTAGGATTTTTATTAAGCATCATTTGCTCTGTTTGCAGATCAACAAAGGGCAAAGATCATGAACGCACCATGAAATCAGCTTAACAAACCTAACCAAGCCCTCCGATGGTGGTTTACAGGACATATTGTTTTACTTGTAGCTGCCCAAGTAGCTTCCCAAAGACAGATTTTTTTACCACGTGCACACATGTATAAACATATTCTCATCTGTATTCTTCATCTCCTCTCCCCAGATTAACAAGTATTCTCCTCAGATGAGTGAGCCAACACGCTTAAAAAAAGTGGAAAAAGCAATAAAATAAACAAATGTGCAGCATCCTCATTTAAATTCTGCTAAGGATGGTAGTGGGAGGGGAGTGCAGTCTTCGTATTGAATATTTCCAAAATAAAATTCAAATAAAGCACTCAAGTAGTAGTATGAAAGTACACACCTAGTTATCCTGTGAAAACAAAACACTGTGTTGTGAAGCATTTTTTGATTAATTCACTATTTCACTTTAAAAAACATATGTGCGAATAAGCATAAAGTACTGCCAGAAAACAACAGTTAAAACTGATGCCACACGAAATAAAGCAAATACAGTACAATAAAAAGTAGCACTTTGATATCTGTATAAATCTTTCTTACTATAATAATATCAAATTTGAACAATCTATTTGAGATATAAACCAAATAAAGTTATTTTGGAAGATTAGGCACTGATCACCAGAGCAAGCATCAAGGCTGATAAGAGAAATAAAAAAACAATAATAAATAAATAAATAAATAAATAAAAAAGATGAAATATTGCATTCTAAGAACAGAGCATGTTTTATTTATGACTGAGAAGAGTGATTGGAGGATCTGTACATTACTTTTCTAAAAAAAAAAAAATTGTAGCTTTAATATTTGTTTGGGCTTTGGCCTTGTTAAAGTTCGCAAAAGAAACTGGAATAGGTACGCTGAATTAAGAGGGTGAAAATTAAGAATTAAACTTTTGTTGGTTGCCTAAAGAAGTTCGTTATGAAAAAGGTTGTTTAGAAAAGTACGATTAATTAGTGTTATGATTCACATATAAACAACAGATTCAAAGTGGACAAACCCCACTTACAAACCGACTCATTGGTCATAACTTTGCTCGGTTTTGAGATAGGACTCTTATCCCTCTTGTCCATCCTCTCACTCTCCTGACATTTTTATATCCGTGCTGTAATTTGAAACTGAACCATTTTATTAGCTGTCCTATTTATTGTTGCAGCATAAGTCCAGAGAAAAGATGCTTCTTTTGGCATCAAGATGTGCAAATGAAGCCAGTCAGGCCACTGGGATGCCTACAAGCATCACATAATAATCACAAAATATTTGTACAGTTCTTTTCTTTACAAGGTTACAAAGTGCTTTGAAAGAAAGGATGAGATGAGTTCACTACAAGAATAAGTGCCTAAAAAAAAAAAAAAAAAAGCCAGACATTGCCAAAGGCTTTCACAAAGAGGAAAGTTTTGAGTTTCATTCTGAAGGCAGATAAAGATTTGATGTGTCCTAGTTTTATAGGCAGAGCGTTTTATAAAATAGTGCTCTAATGGAGTGGGCCTTCGCTCTCTTTGTCACCAACTACGGCCTGAGAACACTTAACAGGGCGCTGTCTATGGATCTCAATGGGCAGCAGAGTACGTACCAGGTCAATAGGTTTGTGATGTATTTGGGGGTAAGGCCATTTAAAGCTTTAAAGGTGAGAAGTAAGAATTTAAAATCAATATGCAGTCTAACAGAGAGCCAGTGCAAGTAGACAAAACATGGGGCAAATGCTTTTGTGCTTTCTAGCACTGGTAATGAGTCTGGCTGCAGCATTTTTGAACCAACTGGAGATGTCAGAGGGAGCTTTGGCTTCCTGAGTAAAGTGCATTAAAGGAGTTAGACTTGTTAAACTAAAGGACTTGTTCTAATTAATAGCTGAATGAAAAGGACTGATTTTTTTAGGTTTTCTTAAGCCAGTATCTCACTGGGCTGTGAGTGTTGGTCCCTAGTTGGCAAAAACCATAGGGTGTCATACCATAGGATGGACCTGCCACTCTTGTGTTCGTTTGCCTCTCCTTCCTGTCCTCTCAAACCCAGCCGGTCAAAGCAGGTGGCCACTTGTCCTGAGCCTGGTTCTGCTGGAGGTTTCTTTTGTTTAAAAGGGAGTTTTTCCTTTCCACTGTTGCCATTGTGCTTTCTCAAGATGGGAGACTGCGACGAAGTGGATTCAACGAGTCTGCTGGCTTCCTTAGAGAACTTTACTAATTGGCTTTTTTATATATGGGAATGTTTCTGTAAAGTGCCCTGAGACAACTTTGTTGTGAATTGGCGCTATATTAATAAACTGAATTGAATAGTCTCCAAAATGTCTGGAAACGTCTGTGGGGTTTTCCTTACTCTAGTTGCACAGGCCCTCTGTCTTGTTGCTTGAATCTTCAACAGATATGTGCACCAAATCTGTGTAATTTTCCCCAAAACAGCAGACTTTGTGGGCATCTCAAGCCCACCTCAGTTTAGTTTTGATAATCCTAGCATGCCTAATGTGTACATGTAGTTTTTCTTAAGTTTTGACAGTACACATTTAACGCCAAAGTCCTGGGTGTCTAGGCTGAATCACCCCAATAAGGCTTCTTCTTTTGGGTTTTCTATCCTCAAGGGTCACCACAGCAATCATCATCCATTGTCTCCATCTCTCTCTGTCTTTTGCATCCTTTGTCCTCACTCCAGCTACCTCCATTTTTCTTGGCAGCTACATTTCTAACATCCTTCTACCAAAATACCCACTGTCCCTCCTCTGGACATGTCCAAACCATCTCAGTCTGGCCTCTCTAACTTTATCTCCCAGTTGTTCAACCTGTGCCGTACCTCTGATGATCTCATTCCTAATCTTGTCTATTCAAGTCGCTCCCAAGGAGGACCACAACATTTTCAGCTCTACCACTTCCAGTTCTTTTTCCTGTCTTTTGGTCAATGTCGCTGTCTCCAGACCGTACAACATGGCTGGTCTCACTCCTCGCTTGTAAACCTTTCTATTGACCTTCGCTGCAACTTTTTGTCACAAATCTGACAAGAACTGTGTTTTGGATCAGCACACAAAACCGAACACCAGGAATGGTTTAAACAGTTTATTCGAAAACAGCTGCTGGTTGAGATCCAGGTTCAAGGGAGAATCCGATCTTTTAAGACAGAGAGGTTAGTGAACAGGTCTTGGCTGAGGAGGTTCTGTGAGTCACTGTGGCTGTCACTAACCTTCTCAGTCTGCAGAGCGAGACACTGTTGTTGGGCTGGTGAGGA